ATATATATATATATATATATATATTTATTTATTTATTTATTTGGAAAAAAAGTGTTAATCAACCCTTACTTATTATGGTGCGGAAAGGTGGTTCTCCCTCGTGCATTACGTAGTACTTACCTTACTTACTTACCTACTTACTGTATATATATCCCCCTCTCCCCTCCCCTCCCACCCCCCCCCTCTCACCCTCTCAAATAACCAACCTCCCCCTCCCTCCCGAAGCCAAAACAGCCCAAGGACCCCCCTCACAGACAAGAGGAGCAAGGAGGGAACTATCTATCTATCTATTTATGCCTACCTACCTACCTACCTACCTACCTATCTACCTACCTAGTCTCCACGAGACAGGCTGGAGGGAAACGGTGGGTGGGTGGACGTTTGGATCTTGCTCAGCTCTTCTCTCCTCTCCTCTCCTCTCCTCTCCTCTCCTCTCCTCAGCTCACCTCACCTCGGGGCGGTGGAGGCGGCGGGAGGAAGAAAAAGAGGAGGGACTGGGTTTTGAAACGGTACCGTCCCGTAGACGGGATCATCAATAGGATAACAGATAGGATGATGGGGTCGTTGGATTTGATTTACTTTGCTTTGCTTTGCTTTGCTTGGAATGGAATGGTAGATGGGGAAAAGAAATAGGATAGAATAAGAGGGGGAAAGAAGGACTTGAGAAGAGGAGACGAGAAGAGAAGAGAGGAGAGGATAAGAGTTAGAAAAGAGAATTTGGTACTCATAGTTAGCGAAGTAGCTCACTCCTCGTGATTAGTTGGTTGATTGGGTGGTGCTTCCGACTCACTAATAAAGTATCGAGAATCAGTCAGGAAGACATGATTCCGGACTGGCTTCTTTGACAGGTAAACGAAGCCTCAAATTCCTTTTTCCAGATTACAATCGCCTCTCACGGCATTATTACAATCGCCTCTCATGGCATTGTCACAAACGGGGGTGGCAGATTCCGGAAGAAAGTCAGTGCAGAAGCTCATGGATGCATCATTTATCATCGCCGGTCCAACGCATCAGTAGTCTGATAGTATGCCACCCCCAACCGGCGCATAGAGAACCACCAATAATCCATGCACCACCCCTTCCATTCTGTTCCATTCTGTCAGAGCACCTCCCCCTCCCAGCCATCCATCCTCTCCAGGTATCGAGTCCATAGCAAACTCTACGTCTCAGGCGCACACTCGTCTCCCTCAACCGACGCCTGGATAGCCAGCTTTAAGGCCTGGGGATTGGCGCCTACGACCTGCTCGACCTTCTTGCCGCCCTTGAACAAGATGAAGGTAGGCATGGCGCGGACGCCGAGCTCACGGGCGACCTCGGGAAGCTCGTCGACATCGAGTTTGGCGAAGTGCGCCTTGGGGAATTCTTCCGAGAACCTGATTGAGGCTTGTTAGCAGACGTTTCTACCAGTGATAGAGGGACAGAGAGGATGACCAGCCCACCATCCCGTCCCATCTCCTCCTCTCCCAACGAGCAAGCAAGCAAGCAAGAGGTAGAAGAACTCACTTGACAACCTGAGGCGCAATCACCTTGCAAGGTCCGCACCAAGTAGCGAAGCAATCCAAGATAACGATCTTGTTCTCATTGATAGCAGCCTCGAACTCATCCTTGCTGCAGAGCGCACACACCTATCGCATTAGCCATATACTCCTCTCTTTGATCCTGCCCGATATCCCGATGCAACAAAGCAGGCACAGCAGAGCAGCAGGAGATAAGCCTTTCCCTTCCCTCCCCTTCCCTTCCCTCCCCTTTCTCTCATCAATCAAAGAAGGAGAAGGGCAAGCTTACGTCTTCAAGTTATGGACACCCATGTTCGCAGCAGTAGTCTTGCTAAAGCCTCTTCTCGTAAAGCCTTTGGTGAGGATGGGTGCTTGTGCTTGTGCTTGTGCTTGTTGTATTATCGATGATGTAGGTCGTGATCGTGATGCGCGTCGTAGGAGCAAGAAAGGATTCGCGGCAGAAGTGCGGGCGAGAAGGGACATGAAAGGTGTATTGATATAGGTTGGAGAGAGGGAGGGAGGTGGCCTGTTGGGAAAGGGGGATGGCGAAGGAGGGAGGGGCGAAGGAGGGGTTGATTGGGTTGAAGGGGTTGACGGGGTTGACGGGTTGACGGGTTGATGGGTAAGCTACCGTAATTGGGCTGCTTAGGCGGGATGAGAACTGAAGTGGCAACGGCGCTTGATTTCAAAGGCTTGATGATGACGCCTTAGGCTTAGTCAGCGGGGTGATGGAAGATGGAAGGGTTGATTGTCCACCCAGAGCAAGACAGCAGCAGCGCGGCGCAAGCTACCTTCTGCACGACCCGACCCAGCTCCACTCCACCAAAGCGCAAGGCGCAAAGAGAGCGAGCAGAGCAGAGCAGAGCAGAGCAGTTTGTTTTCCTTTCGGTGCGGCGGAGAGGAGCCGAACCGTAGTATAGTATAGTATAATATAATATAATATAATCTAGTATCCTTAATCCTCATCCGTAGTCCAAAATATTATTTTTTTCTTCTCACAAGCTGGGTAGGGTCGGGGTCAGTCGCGGGGGAGGAAAGGAGAAAAGAGAAAAGAGACGCCAGAGGAGGATAGAGTGGGTGGTCGGCGGGAACTACCTACCTACCTACCTACCTACCTGGTCTAGTCTGGTCTAGTCTGGTCTAGTCTAGTCTAGTCTGCTCTGGTGGTTTTTTCTTTAGGGAGAACGGAAACACTATCGCTGCTACCGTACTTTCGCAATGAAGAAAGGAAAGGAAAGGAAAGGAAGGAAGGATGAGAGAGAAGAGAGAGAGAGAGAGAGAGAGAACAAGGATACTTACCGACTAGGCTTTCGTTCTCTCTTTCGTTCTCTTTCGTTCTCTCTCTCTCGTACCCGCTGCTGCGCTCAGGAAACTCGGGACAGACACATGCACGCAGACGCAGACGCACACTACATGGGTACCTATGCAAAGAAACAAAGAAAGAAAGAAAGAAAGGGTAACAATACTCTTAAATGTAGGTCGATTCAGTTCGATTCATTCCTCTATCTATCTACATCCACATCCACACCCACACACACATACATATACAAAAGCAGCCTCAGCCTCAGCCTCTCCCTCTCCCTCTCCCTCTCTCTCCCCCTCACGCACCATCCACATTACACCCTCATCTTAAGATATTAAGCACCGGCAGAGGGCCGGCTTTGCATACCGTCGATGTATGGACATATACATACATACATACATACAACCATCATCCCTCCCCCCCCCCCCAAGATCACACCCAGGCATCGCTCAGAAACTTCAAAAACACCGAGATGCGACAAACCGCGAAACGCGAATATGCTAATCAAAATGATAAGCAAGCGTGCCTTTCGTACATTAGGTAAGTCAAGGCGCCACAGAGCTATCCCTCCAGACCACCTCTCCAGATCCCAGCTCCTAAGAAAGAAAAAAACTGGTCGACGGAGATCGGCTTTTTGAATCCCCCCTTGTGATTCCATGGCGTGCCCCGAGCCGTTTGACACGCCAAATAAACTTAGAGGACGGGAAATAGATTTCAAAAACGGCTCAGAGGAGAGCTAAGAAAAAATTAAATTCAGAGTCTGCGTGCGGGTGGGGAATCATTCATCGCGGCTCAAGACATGACGAGAGAAATGAGAAAAGTTTCATGCGGGAGTTGCACGGTGGTGGTGGCTTGAGGAAGCCGCTGGCGGGAAGCCGCTGGCGGGAGGCCGTAGTGAGTAAGATGATACTGGACATCCAGGCAGGCAGTGGCAAAGATAAGCAGCTGATTTGTTGGGGGCGGTGGAGAGGAAAGAGCCGATAGGAGTGACTTGACGGGTCAAGAAAATGTCGAAAGATGCGAATGGCTGGAGTAGAGGTTTAAGGAAAGGGGTCTTGAAGGAGGGTGGGTGTCGATATCGACGGACGGTTGTACAAAAGAAAATCCGGAACTGTGTCGTGCTTATCATTGCGTCGCATACCTGGCTGTCCCAGTATCTGTCTTCTCATTAGTTCTCCTCGACCAGGCTGTCCCTCTTCGCTTCCATCGAGTCGCGGTGCTTCGGATCTAGTAATCGGGTAGAGCCTGCGCTCGTGTGTCGAGCGTGCTTCTGGCCAACGTCGAAGCTGGGAGCCCGCTGTGCGACAGCGTTGCCGGTGGGAGTGTTGGGGGTATCAGGGACCTCGTCGCCGGAATCGTATTCGAACTGGGCCAAGACCCCTTCTCTCGACTTGTGGCGTTCACGATTGATGATGGTAGGGCGTCGCCCCACGGCCCCCCACGTCGACTGCGCAGGAATAGGACTCGCGATGCTCCCTCCTTCCTCGTCATCGCTTGACGGCATCGGATTCTCGGTCGCGGCTGAGAGTCTCTTGATTCTGTGCTGATCAGCGGGACCTTGCATCAGTCGGCTGAGAAACTCGTCTTCGGCTATCTCCGGTTCCTCGGCAGCCTCGGCAAATTCCTTGTCTTTCAGGGTCATGGAATTCAGGCTTTCTCTGCGCGGTTGCAGAGCCGAGCCCCTCTTGGAGCCTCTCCGACCGGAAAGCCACGAACCTTCAGAGTCGATTGAAGCTAGCGACCGCGTCAGAACATTGCCAAGTTCGGGCGAGGGATCCTCGAGCATACGGTGACCCGAGGTCGGTGTTTCGCCCCGATTGCGCGTTGCGTCGACCGATCTGTATCCACTGGTCGGGGTGTCCAGGTAGCGTGCGGGAGGATCATCTGGGCCATGCCTCGTAGTCATCGGAGGTACCAGATCATCCGCGGGAGACTGGACTCTCGAGTCGGGCGGCGACAATGGAAGCTCAGGGAGATCTTCCCGAAACTTCGACATGGTCCGCTTAGGAATGTTGGATGTTGATCGCATTGGAGCGTAACCAATTTGCGCCCCGTGACTACTATTTCGACCACTCTGCATCGAGTCTCGTGATGTATTAGAGAAAGACGATGGCGCAGAATCAATCACCTGCTTCTTTGCCCCTCGTCGGAAGAACGATGTCCAAGATTGAGGTGCGCGTGCCGAAGACATCGAGGCCTGGCGGGGAGGTTTTTGTCTCGTTGGTTTCGGGACCGGTATGGGAGCCGCTGCTGATGGTACGGACCTGGCGAGTTCCATCATGCGAGATATGCTTGATGCGCTTCTGGTATGGGATCGCACCCGCGGCGGAGAGTTGGGCGCAACAGCTGCGTTCCCTACTGTTCCAGTGGTTGCAGTCGGGATGACCGGAGCCAGAGACTCCGACGTAGACGTGAAGTTCTCCGTACGCACACTCGCACTGCGATGGAAGGCCGGTGGCTCTCGGTCCTCGCCCGATTCTGGTAGGAACGCGTCTGCTGGTCGCTCCCCTCGCCCATCGTCTGATGCAACCGAGCCCTTTCTCTTGCTCGAAGTGACGACTGCCGAGGTACCGATTCCCAGACCAACAATCTCCCTCCCCAAGACACCTCGCTCCAGGTTAGGGGGCGTCGGGGTACCCTCACGGGCGGCGGCAGCCTCATCTGCCGTTTGCTTCTCTTGCCGTTGAGCCAACCGTCTCTCCATCTTGACCCTGTCGGCCATCTTCTTCTTGTCTCTCCGTTTCTGATCGCGCTCCATGAGTTCCCGCAATTCACCGGCACTCAGGTCATTCGCCAGATCGTCCACCCTCTTGTTGGCCTTCAGTTCCTTCTCCCCTACAGCTACCCGATCTGACACCTTCCTTCTCCTCGGGTCCGACCTGTCGGGGCCAGAGCCACTGGCTCCCGGGGCATAGCGAGGCCTTTCCGCGTACTTGATCGTCGGTCGAGGGGCGAGAACATCGAGTGAACTTAGTCTGTACGCGGGTTGGTGGCCCGAGTTGGCCGAGACGGAATAGCGTAAAGAATCGGCCAGAGGGACGGATACATTCGTCGTGGGGTTGTCCATGTGTCGATTGAGCCCTCCCCGCATCTTCTTGCTCTCCCGCTTCATCGGTCTGCCCGAAGAGGACACGTCTGCCGCGGGTCGTGTCGGCCTGTAGGCAACCATGGCTCTGATCTCAGCCTCTCGGTCATGCTCTTCCTTCCGCCTCTTGGTTGACTTTCGGCGCGCCAACTCCTGGGCGCCTCTCTTGTGCAACGTTGGCGTCCCCTGCCGGTCCGGAGCGGTGCTCTCCAGGGCTTGGGGGGGCGCCCGAGGGGCCCTCTCTCCCGCGGGCAGTGGCTCCGGCGCGACAGTGTCGGACCCGGGCGCGTGTCCCCGGACGTAGTCGGCGGGGAGGGGTGGCACGGGAGGCACTGGAGCACGCTCTGTCAGATGAGACAGCCGGATACTGTCGTGGCGACCGGGCGAGAAGCTATAGGTCCGATGCGTGTCCTTTGGCGTCCCGGAATCTCTGCTCAATTTTCGCAGCGTGTCTCTCCGACTTCTTCTCCTTTCGGGGCCCGTCACCGCTATTATATCCGCGCGATTATGATTATTTGGATGGTTATGCGTCGCAGGGTCCCGTAGCCGCGGCCGCAGCCCAGCATCATGCAATTCGGCGGGCGGTGGGGACTTTTTCTTTGCCTCTGCCACTGGCTTTGCCTTTGCCTTTGCCCCCGGCCCACACCCGGCGACTGCAGCGGATTTTCCGCGATATTGGCTTCTCGAGCTCCTCCAAAAGGGCCACACGCCCATCGTATCGTGTGCGCGTTCAGTCCCGGGGCAGCGGTGGGACGACGCGGCCGCGCTGCGGCTGGTACGCTAGATTCCGGTCTGGTCTCGCCCGACGGCTGGTGTCCACCACTGTCGCAATGGTCGTCCGACGGAGGTCTCGAGCAGGCGTCGGTGAGGGCAGGGCCATACCCGTCGCGAAGAGTGTAGCGAGTGTGTGAGTGTGAGCGAGTGAGTGTAGGTAGGTAGGTAGGTAGCTACGTGTGTGGGACACAGGGATGCCACCGAGGTACGTTCAGGCGCGAGTGCCAGGCCTTTTCCTTGCAATGAGGATTCGCATACAGACTCGTAGGGTAGTAAGAATCTGGGGATGGAGGGATATGGGCGGGTTGATCTGGTCTGGTGTGGTCGGGTGTGGTGTGGTGTGGTGTGGTCTGGTCTGGTCTGGTCTGGTCTGGTCTGGTCTGGTCTGGTCTGAACTGGTGGCAGTAGAGCGGAGGTTAATGTTGGTGTTCGTGTTTCCGCGCGCATGGGCCGTGGGCAGTTCGAGACGAGACGGGGAGATCCAGGGGATGCAGGGGATCCAGGTCCCTGTCCAATATCCGCTGCGGGTTAAGTGGAGTTGGTGATGGGTCTGTCATGGTAGTCGCAGATTGAGTTGGGAAAAGTCTGTATCTACAGCTATTTATAGTCCAAGTATAGTCTTGTCCTATATTTCTACTCTGTCCGGCAGAGGTCGCATTATGTTTGGGGGATATCAGAGATTGCGGTCGGTATATCTTTCATGCAAGGGGCAGGTTGAGAGGGATGCGAACGGATGGTGTTGATGCAGAGCGGCGATGGTGATTGCTCCGACGTGGCAGTGGCAGTGGCAGTGGCAGTGACAGTTAGTAGCAGTTGGTAGTGGCAGTTAGCAGCGGTAGTCGCAATCAATCGTGTCAATGCACTTCCGGGTCGGCACTGACTTGGTTGGGGCTCGGATGGTCAATTCGACGACTCCAACGACCACTCCAACGACCACTCCAACGACCACTCCAACGACCTGCTCGATCCCGCGCTTCTTCGCCTCTTCCACCACGCCGTCGTCGGAATAAACTTCGCCGCGGCCCGTCGCTGGACCCGAGATTCAACGTGCTTGACGTACCGTGCCGGCCACTCCGTACCACAGATGCGGGCGCAGCTGATACGGGGCATTACTGTATTCATACCACAAGTACGGTAAGTAAGGAGGTCGGCGTGATCGCAGTTGTCACGTCGGGTGCAGCTGGTAACGTACGTATCCGTACATACTGGTACCTCGCTATACCGCAGCTACCGGCGCATACATATTGCGGCCCGCCGCATCACGGAGCTTACCCGCAGAGAGGAGCCTCCCTAGGATGGATTAGATAGAAGTAGATCTACTACTATAGTACTACTCTTAACAATCGCTCCCGTCGTGACGATCCTGTCTCAGCGCCACCCGCGGATTGTCCCCTTGGATTGGTGACTTGGATGTTAGTAGGTACCGGTAGGTACCTAGGTAGACCTCAACAAGGACAAGGTCGATGCGGCCCATGGAACGGTCGTTGATCAATTTGATCAATAAGGGAATTCTGCGTGCCGGTCACCAACGAGTCCAGCCCTAGACAGGGTCAAGCTGCATGGATGCATGCAGCATTGAAGTGCTCGCATGTCACTGATTTCCGCCCCAATCTCTCTTATGGACGACGAGCAAAGCAGAGCAGAGCAGAGCAGAGCAGAGCAGAGCAGAGCAGAGCAGAGCAGAGCGCTTCCCTTGCTAATGACTGACTCCTCTTTCATCTCATCTACCTACGGACGAATGAGACCCACGCATCCGCATCTTCCTAGCGTCGCATCTTGGTTGGCAGGCAATCTGCTATGCCACCCGGCATTTACACTGTATATCTGTGTATGTGCTATCCCCAGTGGAGTTGGATCAACACGATCAATGTCGATGGAGCGGAAGAAGACGGACACGCACACGCACACGCACACGCAGACGAAGCCGGCATTCCAACTCACTCTCAGCCTTACCGCGAGCCAGCAGCCCTCGCGGCATCGCAAGGGACTTGGTGGCTTCCCTCCGCAGGGTTGCACGACAGGCCACGACCGTCGTACGAGGACCCAATTGGGGCGGCAGTCGCAGTCTCATTTGGGGGATATTCCTCATCGAGCGAGCTCCTTTTCGTCATTGGTGACGCAGTGCCACCAACTGATGCCCGTTCGTTCTTTCCCTCTTTCGTTCCCTCTCTTCCTCGCTGCTGAGCCTTCTCCATTCTCCGTTTTATCTTCCGAGCAGATTCGTCCTTGCGTCGCGTCAGATACAGATACCCACTTTTACGGCTGGGGAAGGGCCCTGGGCGTTGATTTGTGATGTTTGAATCTGATCGCAAGCGCGTTCAGTCTCCCGGTCATACATACATTTGTCATCATGGTGTAGGTGTACCGGTACTACCTAGGTAGTCAGAGCCTAGCTGATCCCACCCTCCCAACGCTCCTGCTCACACGGCCCTCGAGGCCGGAATTCTCCATCTCGAAACACAGCAGCAAGCCAGGTCAGAGGCGGTCGCAGGCCTGCACGGCCATCTATGTCATTCATTGACTCTGCAGGCTGTTGAAGCAACTCCTCCTCTCCCCTTCCGTATCACATGTGTGAAATTCCAGCTCGCCCGCTGTAACCAAGGGAGGTAACGGGGGCAGGGAATCCAGCACCGAGTCGAGCTGAATTGATAAACAAAAACACCATTTTTTTTTTAACCTCATCTCGTCTTTGTTGTCGCCGAGAAATCGAATCCATGTTCGAGTCGGCCACATGGGCACAACGTGAGGAAGATGACAGCCACCGCTGCATATACATAGAAAGAAAGATGACCCGACCGATTTATCTGTTTCAATGCGCGTTAGCGTAGCCACCGTTGTTTGGTTCCCTTTTTGTAGATGTTCTTTGATTTATGCGAATATGGAGACCAAAAACAAAAACAAAAACATTAAGATCCTGCCTGAGCTGAAGCGAATTGGATTGGATTTGAACTGAGCGCGGAAAGGTGGGGCCCGTCCGGGTCCTGGTTCTACCGTACTGTAGCTGGCCACGTACCGCCCGCCCAGTCAGGAGCTGAGCTGAGCTGCCGCAGCCGACGACCGCCGGTTGGCGAAGTCGGCATCGCACTGGAGAATCGCTAGCAAGAGAGCTGCTGCAAGACGGGGTTGGTGGGTGATAGGTAGTGGTGGCAGGTGTTCCATACTTCCGGTAGATACCTACCTACATCGGCTCCCAGTACAGCGAGAGGCCCGCCTATACGATACGATGCGATTCGATGCGCTACGCAACGCTGCGAAGCGTACTCTTTCTTTCCCGAGAACGGTTCCAAAAAAAAAAAAAAAAAAAAAACCCCTGTCAATAGCTGCATGGCGTCCGTCCCTCTGAATCGCAAAGGGAGATCTAGCCCACTGAATCGTTCTGAATCCTCTCTCTCTCTCGCCTCTACGTATAAATGGCAAGACCCCAAAATTGACCCCCCAACGACGAACGGCACCGGAGTTCGTTCGTTGAAGGAGCGCGCGCCTTGCCGTGGGAGGCCGAGAAGCCAACGCCCTCTTTGCGAGGAAAAACGGACAGTCGGAGAGAGAGGGTTGGGCAGTGGTGAGAAGCTTTGCTTGCTTGCTTGCTTGCTTGCCACGCGCGGGGAGGTCCCTAGGTCCCCTAGGTACCTATCTCGCCGTATTGGCACCTGTGTTTTCAAGTACGGTACGTGCCAGCAGCTCAGTCGGCTGGAAAGTCACACACACACACACACACACACACACACACAGCCATCACGATTTTTGCCCGGCGGAGAGCCAAGCAAGCAAGCATAGAATGAATGAACGGCGCTGAGATAGATCATCGGCTCCCAGCGCGCAGCTAAAGCGAGGGCTGAGAGTCTGTAAGGTGAGTTCCGCTGGACAGGTCGTGGCTATGCAGAGAGATAGACACGGATAGGGAACGAGTCAATTAATTAGAGGATCTGCTCTCGCAGGCGGAGAAAGAGGATTGAGGAAGAGGAAGAGGAAGAGGAAGAGGAAGAGGAAGAGGAAGAGGAAGAGGAAGAGGAAGGAAGTGAATGAGCCTGCTCGTCATGCACATATACTACTACTGTGATCCTCAACAGAAACAATCTGCCGCGCTCCAAGGAGAAGGGGAGACTCAACCTCGACTAGACAGACCCTCAAGCGATATGCTGCCTGCCTGCCTGCCTGCCACCGTGGGGGTCCCAAGCTCCTCCCTTACCAAAACACGGGTGCTCGACTCTCAGCCAGTCAGGGTTGCCTTTCCCATCGCACATTTCCCACGTCGCGAGCAGCTGCCACGTTAAGTAAGTATCTCACACGCTCTCTCGAGGTGTCTATCTACCTCCGTGGCTCCGTGGCTATCCTTGCTCTACGAGCGCGAACAGAACTGGCCCGTCGGGTCGAGGCGACTGCCGCTCTCGGATCCATCAGCCTTGCGGATCAGGAAGGAGGTCTGCGGCCGTGGGTGCGAGGGGCAACGAAAGCCTGGTTGGCCGGGGGAGATGGTGCGTGGATCGGGGTGGGGTTACCTACTTTGTTTTGCTGATCAGGTTGGATTTCAAGCTCAAGTTTTAGCGCGGGCTAGGCGATATCAGGCTCACTGAGGTGCTACTGTATGTATTGATTAGGAAAGGTAGTGTCTCCCTTTCATGCCACAAAGTTCCCGAGGATTTCTAGGAAATGTATTTGAGACCAGTTGTCGGTCTTCTCGAAAAGCAGATCTACACCGACCTTGGCGTCCCCTTCGCGTCCATCACAGCTTCGCCTTACTTCCCAGAATCTCTTCGACCAGCTCCACGGCGCCCTCCGAGCACCCATAACTACCCTGGTATCCCCAACCTCCGTGTCCATAGTTGTGTACCACCCACTGACCCCCAGCCAGCCGCTCCTTCTCCATCCTCACCCCGCCCTTCCTCCGTGGTCGCAAGCCCACCCCATGCCTCACCCACACTCAGCGCCTCGATGCCCTTACCCCTAGTCAGCTGCGGGCACATCTCCACTGCCCTCTTCATGATCCGTATGGCCTGGTTCGGGTCGACCTGCGACTCCCAATGGCCCTCCTGGTACGTGCCGCCGAGGATCGTACCGCCGCCAGCAGCGCGCTGCATGACATACGAGACCTCGTCGTCGCCATCATCCGTCCCGGAAACGGTGAACATGGCGCCGCCGGGGCTGTTGCGCACGACGACAATCTGGCCGCGGACAGGTACCACGTCTGGATCCATCACGCCGCCGAGCCTGCATGCCAGCAGGCCGGTGCAGTTGACCACCACGTCCGCTGCGCCTGCAGAGTGGAGCGCACCCGCGTCAGCGATGTGCGAGATGACCTCCCGCTTGACCGTCGCGCCGTTCTTGAGGCACTGGGAGACCAGGTAGGGCAGGTAGACGGCGGTGTTGATACACACTGACGTGAACAGCGTGCCAGAATCCACGGCAGCCGGGAGCTCGGATCTCTCGAGGACGCGGAATCCAGGCACGACGGAGGCGAACCAGGGACGCGTGGAGAGCAGCTCGTGGAACCATTGGCCGGTGGTGGCGTGGGCGTCCTTGAGACGGTTGTAGACGACCGCATCTGCTCTTCGTCAACTGGGGGGGGGCCCGGGCACGTGTGGTAGGGGAGCGAGAGAGGACCTTGGAAATGGATGCCGGCTTCGGGGACATGCTCCGCGAGACGGGCCAGCTCAGGCCATGTCTTCTTCTCCCAGCGATTGTCACGTTGGGGGGAGACCCTGGGACGGTGGTGAGTTGAGGGCGCAGGTGAGAGGGCGATCTGACGCACGGGAGGTAGTTTGCTCCTGCCCAAGGTGAAGTGTACTCGATATCATAGTCGCCGGGCATGTGCTTTGCTATTACGGTCACGCTGTGCCCTTTCCGCGACAGCAGCAAGGCAGTGGTGAGGCCGGAAACACCAGCACTGGCTGGCAATCAGTACATACATCTTCAGAGGTGCAAGGCGCGGGGTGTGGACAGACCCGACAACTACGATATTTGGCATGATGGCAATGGGGGCAGAGCCGTACCTCAGATTCCGAGCGCCCGCGGAATCAGATATACTATAGAATGCGGCTTTCGAGCTGGCTTGACTCACTTCGTCTAGGGAATACCGGTATCGTTCGTCGGCTGATCCCCACTCTTGTCCGGCTTTCCCCACAAAGCCCACTGTCGCCAGACCGCTCGCTCCCTTTTGATTGGCCGTGTCGCGAGCAGCGATAACGACAAGGACAACGACATCGATATCCTGAAGTCGGCACGCAACATGAATGGCCTCCCCGCATGCCTCTTCTGATCTGCACAGCAGCAGGTGGATCTCACCAGCATCCGCGACGGAAAGGCTTTGATAGTGGATAACAGCCCGGCTTGAAAGCCGTCTCCCTCGCATAGTGAGGTCCACTGGTAGACCGCTATCCCGGCACCGCTGCACCGCCGAGCAGAAAGGCTTTGCACCAAATTTCCAATTGCATTTGACCGTTGATGCGGTCAGGATACGATATTCTACCGACGTACTAGATGAAAATGAAATGCCTATTTATTTTCCTATATACCTATGCAAGGGCAAGATACGTAGCAGCCCCATATACCTACCTACCTACAAGGCGGCAACAAACCTCGCTTAACGAACAGCAAAGTCAACACGCGTTCCGCCATGCCGCTAGGTACCTACGTACCGCAACTCCCCTCCCTCTCTCCCCCCCTCACCTCCGAAGCGAATGATCCACAGATAAGAACTCGAACATCCGAACGGCAACGAGTCTCGCCAGCGCAGCCAGCGCAGCCAGCGCGTTTCTCACAAAAAAAAAAAAAAAAAAAAAAAAAAAAAAAAAAAAATTACGGACGGCGTGGCGGCGACCATCCCCCAAAGTCGCTCCCGCTACTTCCTGTCGTTACGGTTACCGGTACGGTAGGTAGTACCTTCCTTACCTCCCGTGCATCAATCAAACCTCGCCCCTCTCGATGCCACACCGCACCCGCTTCGAGAAGTGGCTTTGCTTTCCGGGTCGGCGGGTCTTTCATGAAAAAAGAAAAAGAAAAAGAG